ACATTGTTCAGTACATACTCATGACCACATCTCCATAACTAAGGCAAATTTCTCATTTATAAATGAGTAAGAAAATTTCAAACTATAGTTTCGAAGAAATCGTCAGACACGAACCGAAATTTTGTGTGAAGAAAAATAAAAGACAATGAAGAAGCCAAAATAGTAAGAGTAGCTTACACTTGTGAAGATGGCCAAGGAGATGGAGAATAGTATAAGGAGACTAAAGTTGAGGCTCTTGTTAACTCCTCCCATGGCCTAATTTCTTTTATCTTTTTAGTTTCTTCTTGTCTCAATTGTTATAAAAACTTAGTTGCTTTGCCTCCTTATAAATGCAAAAATGTGGCAACTTGGTGTAATTACTATTCATTGGATTGTAGTGAAAAAAAAATAAAAAGTGGGCCAAAAAACGTGCCAATTGTAGGGAAAAAATATAAAAAGTGGGCCAAAAAACGTGCCAATTAGAGATTTTTGTCTTGGATTTATTAATTGCTTGATGATAAGTGTACAGGTTCTATTGAATTTTTTTGTGGACTCTATTTCTCATAAAATTTTAATGGAGGACACGATTTTTTATTTTTATTTTTAAAGACATGAATTAGTCGTACTAGTGTGTCCTCTACCAAAATAACCTCACGTGAAGGAAAGAAATTTTCATGATGATAAGCTACACTGTGACAACTTTTTATTTTTTTATCTCTGATTAGTCTTAATGTAGCATCATACGATAACTTAAAGTGTCGGAGTTTCTAGTAATACCTCCCGATGATTTGCAGGTTATCAAAAATTTAGTTTCAATCGGAGCTTGATGCTGAGAACTGATTCATTTGTTGTGGATCACATCAAGTCAATTAGGATGTTTTTGCAAGTTATTTATCAACTTGTGCTACAATATGATATACATCTCTTTTTACCTTTCAAACAAAAAATGGAAAGAGATAAAAATAAATAATTTGTGACAATCAACTAGGCTCTATCAATGAAAAAGGAGACAATTACGAGACACACAAAACCAGTTATAAATTTGAAATTATATAAATTTTATTGAACTGGTACAACACCCGTTAACTACATACGTGTTTGAAAAAAAAATTATGCTATGAAGAAAATTGAAAAATAAATAATATTCATATATTTATTCTGAAGAAAAAAATTAATATTAAAGTAAAAAACATGTAATATTATTTTGAATTCTAGAAAAATATTTTATATGAAATATTATTTTTTCTATGTAAGATATATTCATTTTTTTATAATTAAATAAAATAATTAATTTATTCGACAATTAATATAATACACATGTTCAATATGGTATGAACAAAAAGTATTTATATGAAAAGACAGAAGTAAAGAAAATTATAGTCTTATAATAGAATGACAACAATTAATTATATAACTTATAAAAAATTAACAAAGTTAATTATTCAAAATGATACCCATGTTTTACACTTGATTCACGACTCACGCACACATATATATTATCCACAACTTAATAATTTGATTTTAAATTAATTTAAACTTTTAAATTAATTTGATTTTGATTTTTTTTTTTTTTTTTAGNATTCATTTGTGATATGGGATATTATATAGCTGAGGAATAGACCGGTTTGCATCATCGGTCGAGCAACCTCGAAGTAGAGAAAACCGGATGGGTAGAAGGAGATCGAGCAGAATAGCAGAACTGGTCGAGGATCGACCAAAAGGGAGGAGATCGAGCAGAATAGCATGTGAAGAGCAGTCTAGAGCGTGGCTTGAACGCGAGAAGGCGCGTGGATGACGTTAGAAGATCCCAACGGCCTGCGCAGGAGAATAATCTCCCTCAGCTCAGAGGGACACGTGACGGGAATATATTGGTGCAGAGTGATAGTGGCGAAAACCACCCCTGACATCTCTGACACGCACACTATGTGTGTACGGACGGGCAGTACTGGCAGGGCAGCTCACCAAAAGCCGGGCAGTTTTTAGGGTAGGTATCTCACTCCTATATATATGGGAGGGGGTCTTTTCTTGTAGCCTACGATTTATCCATTCTTTACTTTGGAAAATTGAACAAACACATACTGACTTAAGCATCGGAGGCTCTTCACCGGAAAACCCCTCTGGTGTGGGAGTTTTGTGCAGGAACGCGGCGTTCTACCGGCGAGGAAAAAGGAGGCAAGCTGATTTCAAGCCGGTCGGAGTATTTTGCGTTACCAATTTGGATTTTTTTTTTTTTATTTTCAATAACATTATAATGTCCAATCTATTTAAGTCCTTATTTTATGTTCATACTTAGTTTTTATTTATTTGCAAATGCAATAGTTATTTTAAGGTATGTAAATACAAATAATATTTTTTGTTATTTAATAAGATAATTTATTGTTTATTCAATATTTTTGTATTTGGTTTGATAAATAAATTTAAGTTTTATTTATAAGGATAGATATCGCTATTTCATATTTTATATATGTAATATGGATGTTGAATCGAAGATCGTTAAAAGATAATTAATATGATATATCTTATATGAAAACTAAAATACAAACAACAAAGTTAAAGACACACTTATAGTAATTACTGTATGCATTAAATAAGAAAAATAAATATAATGTATAGTTTTGTAAGAAAATGAAATATAAAATATTTTGTGGTAACTAATTGTAGAATAAAATGATTAAAGAAATGATTGCAGAAAAATAAATATAATGTATAGTTTTGTAAGGTAATAAAATATAAAATAATTTATGGTAACTAATTGTAGAAGAAAATGATTAAGGAAATGATTGCAGAAAAATAAATATAATGTACAGTTTTGTAAGAAAATGAAATATAAAATAATTTAAGGTAACTAATTGTAGAAGAAAATGATTAAGGAAAAATATCAATCACGGGTTCACTGTGAATTATATAGATATTTAATGCAACCTAAGCTTACTTAGTTTGTAGAAAAATATTTATTTTATATTAAAGCCTAACTCTGAAACATGATCTTTTGACATACATGATTCCAAAGAGTGCGAGATTGTTATGAAATTCAACGCATTCGAGAATTATATACATAGGAATGGTAATGTGAGTTAGATTTTCAATAGCAGTTGTTTTTTCTTTTCATTTTTTTAATTTAATTTGTGATTTTATCATTATTGTAGGATGTGGCTGACAAAGTTTGATAATCATGAATTCGATTAATATCACCACTGAGATATGTCATCTTTACGTGTATCTTATTGTGGTTTTCGATTTCGTTCCGTTGTAATTTTTCATATAATTTTACTCATATCAATAAATTTTATTAAATTATGAAGATTGTGTTACATCATGTATCTTTATAAAAAAAAATTGATCCAAATAATTATTGGAGACAAAACGGCGAAAAAAGTATAGAGGAAATTACATTGTGCACTACAACAGAACATTTTTATTATAATTTTACGGTCCATATATTTTTATTTGCAAAATAACTAAAATCATATAATTTATTTACATAAATACCTCAATGTTAGTTTAAATATAATATCTTTAAATATGGAAAAACGTGGTATGACCATAACTGACTCCAATTAATAAGGAATAAATAGTTGTGACCAAAACAATCTCCACAATTATTTTCTCCACCTTCCTAATTGTCCACAATTTGTTAATTATCTCCTGTCATCTGCCATCGTCCATAGCAAAAAAACCGTCCCAATTGCCATCGTTTTTTTTT